TGCTGGCAATGTCCTGAAATATTTTATTTACAGTGCTAATATCGAAATTTTTGGTTTCCCACTGTCAGAATTATTCTGTCCGCTATGAAGTTTGTTCACTGACGAGGTGACAATGACTTTATTAATATTCGTAAGCTGCAATGACAGATGGGAAAGAGTAAAATCAATTTATAATCGTCTAGATTCTTTAAAAATGTCCCATTGTTATTTGTTTTTCTGTAAAATATAAAATATGTGGAAATATAAAGTTGGTTTTTGTCGCCTCTCATAGCGTGTTTAATTTATCATTTAATTGGACATTCAGAACCGAAGAACCACAAGCACAACTAATGAATACCTATAACAATAATAATAAATAATTAATAATTATAATAATAAACACGAATAATAATAATTTTTTGTCTATATAAAAGCCCTAACGAAAAAATCAATTAATAAAATGTAATTTAATTTAATATGATTATATTATTTACTATTATCATCAAAAAGGGTAATTTATCAAACATCACAGTAGTTTTTGGGATAATTTGTTAAACACTGTTAATTCAAGTAAAAAATGTTTATAAGTTGTTATTAAGTTGTGTTTAGAAATAAGTTTCAAACATAAATTAAATATCTAACCTTTTTCAGTGAGCAAAATTGATTACTATTTTTTTATTAATTTAAGTTATAGTTCAGAGAAAACTCGCTAATCTTCATTACTAGTATATGATCATATCCAGTTTTATAAGCGAATGAAAAATGAAGATAACAAACCTACACGTCATGTCAAGATAGGTTATATTATATGTTGTATATATACTCTATATATATATAATGTATTATATCATAGCATCCTATCAGTTTTTTATATTTAATATACTATAATACTATAGTAGTTTTGAATGAGAAAGATTGACGTTATTCAATTAATGAAATAATATTTTCAAGTTAATCTTAAGTGTACAAAAAGTGCAATTTTCAAGATATTTCTAAACTTATGCAACTATAGTATTTTATAATAGAATAACGTAAATATAATTCATATTTCAACGGACATTAATTAATTTTTAAATTTAAGTTAAATGTTTGGTTTTCATTGTTTAATGTTTCTCCTGGAATTATTTTTTAGTTAATTTCTAGTTCTATCGTGATATAACAATATATTATATTAGTATTGTATTATTATATGTTTATTACCTATTGGTTATAATAGTTTTCCTTGCTGTGTATTTTTACTATATTTAATAAATGTTGTCATGAAACTATTTTGACTAATTGACTCTAAGTGTTAAATATTTGGTACCATGCTTTTTAGTAAAATTCATTGCAATAATTAATTTTAAACTCCACACGAAATGATGAATGTATTGATTTTATAATGATGCCTGTCACCACCTTTTGAGGCAGTAAAAATACTTTATTTTTAAACTTTGGATGATGGTCTCTGGTAGCAAATTAGATCTAGTTATCACTTCGGAAAGTAAATGTAAAATAGTAGGTATTTCTTAAAATTACCAAATAATCGTAGGTGCTTCAGCTTTTTACCAATTTTTAAATTATAATTTTCCATGCATAATAAAATATTCAAAAAATGTTTACTCTTTTTAGATATTTATAAGCATTTTAAATATTTCATTTATTTAAGATTAAAAATCATTCACTTAATTAAAAACATTGAAAATTTAACAGAAGATCCCATATAAGTTTTACTATATCTCTATAAAAAAATTTTAAAATACATAAGTAGTCACAATTTTTATAGATAAATTTTATGTTAACATTTTTACAACCTACTGTAATACTTATCTTAAAGTAAATTGTTTTAATTAAAATATCGTGAAATAAATTTAGAGATATAGGCTAACAGCCAGCTTCTGTTCAGAATTATTTTTTGTAAATATTAGTATATTATTAAATTCAAATTGAATACACCAACTGGCAATTACAATTGGTAACCAAATCGACACCTATATACAGCAATGCGGTAATCTGTCTTATAATTTTTAACTTTCTTTTCTCGTAGTAGCTAATTTATTTCGTCAAAACTAAAAGCAAATCCAATTTTTAGCTATTTTTAATATTTTATGATTTTATGTTTAAAGATAAAAATTGTATTGTGTAAATCATCGAACAATGGTTCAATATTATAGTTTGTTATCCATGGTGAAATTATAAATTAAATTCCTTGCCATCAAACTATTTCTATCTGAACTTAAAATAATAATAGGCAATATAATATATTATAAATTATTATGTCTTTAATATTCAATATGTATGCATAAAAATGATAAGAAAAGTATTCTGTTTAAATGCTTGTAATGAGAGAAGCTTTTTAAATTTTAGTTTATATATCAGTATGTTTAGAAATTCGACTTATTTCTGCATATCAAAATTCTATTCAGTATACATTTTACATTCTTAATCTCTATTATCTCAAATTTGGATCAATCCAATCAAATTATTCTCGTATATAATATTATAACACTTTATAGTAATTTATAGTATATTATTACTTATTACAATTTATAATGCAGGTATAGCAAAAATTACTAACTTAGATACGATATACTAAATAAGTACACTAAAATTATATATATTACTTGAAATCGCTCCTAAAACTAAAAATAAATTGAAAAAAATTTAAGATCTCAAATCTACTAATAAATTAAATAAATATTTTCATAAAAAATCATTATTTATCTATAATTTAAGATAATTGATAATCAAATTTGATAATTTGATAACAATATTAACATAATTTTTCGTGAATTATTCAATGGTGTAAAATATAATATAATTTTATAATGTGATATTTTCAATCGCAAACGCGCGGAGTATCCAAAAACAATGCCTTCGTCCAAGTTTGAATCTGTAAAAAGCCAGCTTAACCCTTATAAATGTTGACCATTATCCAAGCTTACAGTGTTAAGATAGCGGTGGTCTTAAGGTTAAATATATATCAACTAACTCAAAACATTCTTACTCAAAGCTCAATATATATATTATACAGGGATGGCGCATATTTTTATTTCGCAGTGTATTGTTTAGTTTTCTCGAAATAATCTCCTTTTCTCGTTGGATCTTAAGCAGAATTTAGGCAGCTGCACTAAAAAACTTAACACTGACTACTGTAGTCTATAACAATACTTTTATACATGATGTTCAATGCTGATTATGAGTTTGATTTTTTTTTAAATTTCTTCGTACACTGCTGTATGGAGAACATTTTATATTTTAACATTTTCAATGTTTTTAATTTCAATGCAATCAGATTTGTACCATAAGTATTTTTAAATTCTAATTTAATCAATTTTTGGAAAATTTTATTGTTTTAACAACCAATCGTATAGACAGAAAATTAGTTTGCACAAAATAAAAGTGTAATATACGTATGTATAATGTATATACTTTCCAAATAATTAAAATTCTTTTTCATCGTTTTAACAGCTTACTCAAAAGTTTCTTCTACATTATTATATACAATTGTGACTTAATTTTAACGTCAAATGAGAATACATAAATGTATACATAGTTTTCCTACTAGTATTGGTTGATTATGATACATATCCTTCTATATATAAAAGAACAGCCCTTTTTTATGTTCCCATTTTGTGACAATACTATTTAACATTTTTCCAATTTTTTTTCATAGAATTGCTCAAAATATCTTCCTGGATGTCACCATGTCACTCGATTTTTAATTTTTTTTGTTTGAAGGAGGAAAAGGGGAAATTTTATTTTTTTCTCTATTTATATAAAACAAACTGGCCTTTTTTTAATATTCCCGTGTTGTGACGATACTGTTTAAAATTTTTCCAATTTTTTCTCTGAGTCGTACCAAATACTCCTAAGAGTGATCATTATATTTTTGTTTTATTTATAATTCAGTTACTACTACTACTACTACTACTACTACTACTACTACTACTACTACTACTACTACTACTACTACTACTACTACTACTACAACTATTTAGCACTTGATAAAATTAAGTAAAATGTTGAGAATGCACAAACTATACACAGGCGTAGCCGGGTAATTCAACTAGTAGGTACTATATAAATAGAACATGAATTTTTTTTACATCAATTAAACCATAGATAAAATTTGTCATAATTTTGCAAATTGAAAATAGAAACATTGCATCGTGCTATCTTTATCTAACCAAACGTACGTGTGCGTATAAAACTACTAAACGCAAATCCATCGAACATAGAGGAGAGTTGAGGTGTTTTTAATCGTAAATCAGATAAGCTATTTCATATTTTCCCCAGGTAACAGGTACAAAACAATATTTATATTTTATTACTATGTTTGTAGATGACCATTTTTTTTTCTTTAAAGAACCCATAACTAAAAAGTGGTTTGACAATTTACTTCCGACTGTTAAGCCCGATTCGCAATCCCATCGGAAATGTAACATCCTCGTTCGTATATATTATACAACGCTTTATACCTATGCTTTGGTCGTAAACCTCGAATTCAGGGGGTGAAACATTTAATCGCATCTGCAGGTATGTATACCGAGTGCTTCGCAAATGGTTTACGACTTTGATATTGCTTTTATGTGGTACGGAATAATATTGCAAAAAATCCACGTTTGGATAAGAATAACAATAACAGCCACAGTCAAAACAAATGGTTTATTTGAAAAATGTTCACAACTTTTTAACTACACTAACACGATATAAATAAGACTATAAGACTAAATAGGACGACAAAAAAACCGAATCAACTACTATTATAAAATCTAAGGTACCTATCTGTATTTCAACTGAATTTATATACTACGTAAATTCTACATAATTTATAGAAATAGTCATACATGGCAAGATTTTGATTTCTAAAACTAAAAAATTATAAATATTACATATAACATCAAACCATAAGCTGCAAAGAAATCATAAGTCCACTGTTTTTGATAAATATGGTTTTTTAAACTTGCTTTGTTATTATCGATGAATATTATTGTATTCATACGTATTTGTGTACGTGTTTTATTCTTCTTTTTTTTCAGGTACCGTTTGCATACCCTTGAACCATCTTTGCGCCGACAGCGGAAAAGGTCACCTAAAAGTACCGGCGGCTCATTGGAGGCAGGCGAAAAAACACAGCATCAACAGCAGTGTTGGCGAAATGAGCAACACCAGTTTCAGCAATGCAGTGACAGAGATAACCGTAGCCACCGCGAATACATCGACCTGTAACGAAAATAGCATCAACTGCAGCGAAGACAGCTTGAGGACCTGTCTAGAAAAAAATAAAAATTCTGCATCCTGACGACAATCGTCACAGAAGGATGAAAGAAACAACGATCTCCATCACTGTCGATCGTTGGCGACCGATGTTACTACTTCGAGGAATGCTGCGACACAACAGATTTGGATTTAATGACTGGGTTAGAGATGTGAAATCTCTCAGTACCACTCGGATAATACTTTTGGAATACAATTATTGTATTATAAATTGAAATTTACGTGTTGGTGTGTGTGTATGTGTGTGTGTATGTGTATGCGTGCGCGTGTATGTCCAGGTATGTTTATAATGCTTGTAAAATATTAGTGGCTCCAAAGTCCTAATAATTTTTATAGATAAATATATATAAATATAGTTACTTACAACCACTTAAATATTATCAAAATCAGAATCAACTTCGAAATTCCTCCAGTAAAAATTAAATCAATTTTTTAATGTACTTAACTAATTAGAAGACTATCTTGGTAAAATTTTAAACGAAACTACAGCTAATTACGTCTACTCTGAGTCCACTGATACATAAGATCAAACTTGAACAATGGACGCTTGAACACACACAATTTAACTACGAGTATATTAGATTATTTATTGTTATAACATTTAAAATTTATTGTTCGCACTTTAGTACATGATGTAAGAAAATATCACTGAAATATTCGAAATTGTCTTTTTCATAAACATACTCCATTTATGGCCAACAAAAATCCCTAATAAAATAATGTTTAGTATCATCTTGTCTCAACTACCATTTTGAAAAAAATTATCCCAATTTTGATCTCAATTTAAATATTAATGTTGGCATTTATTATGCTAACAAAATTATATTGATATAGATATATCAGTACAAACTATTATTTAAACTTTCAAAAATTAATAAAATTAATTTTTTCATTATCCAATTTGATATTGTTTTAATAAATGTAACTATTCAATTCCTAGTAAGAATTAGCATATTTATCTTTATTGTGATTTACTTGTATTGTGATATTTGTCCTACTTGAATAACTTTGTAGATCATAATGCTTAATAAAAACACAATATCTTCAATGCAAGTATCTTATTTTTTTTTCGTAAAATCATTTTGGAGAAAAATAATTTATAAAAAAAATGTTATTCACAGTGAGTTGTGGGTATACTAAATATTTTTAAAACACTAAATAATTTCTTTATCCTAATCATGCTATGATAGTATAAGAAAAGTATATAACGCAATTTTATTAATACTTTTTAGACTTAACAGAATATTTTTAATTAAATGATCTAAAAGTCTTTTAATAAATCAAATCTTATTAAATTTTTTTTTTTTTAAGTAGTTAGATTTAGTTTAGCATTGTTATTTTTTACTGTGCAAAGAATAGAAAAAAAACAATTTTTACTAATTAATTAATCAATAGTCAATAGTAAAAATAAATATTAAATGTTTATAATAGTTACTACTTTCGTATCAATTTGTTTTTATCAATTAATCAATTAATAAATTATTTTATTTATTATTTATAAAACTAAAAATCTAAAGCATATTATTATCGTATTATGTATTCAAGCGAGCATCTTTATTTATTTTATTAAAGCGAGCGGTCAACTTTGTAACTTTATCACAGCAAAACTAAAATCCAATTGATAGCTTTAAGTAGAAGATTTCTTGAGCGTGCAAAACTCATTTATTTATTACCATGGTAAAAATTATTACCATATACTGAAGTAACATTATTGGTTATACTTAACAATAAAATTTAATTTAATAACAATATCCAAGTAGATCTTAGTGTACATTAATTTAACGAAATCTTCGATTTTAACGTATAACGTGAGGGCGTTAAACAACGGTAATTTTTACATTCATTTTCATTTCTTTTATTCGAACAACTACCTGTGAGAAAGCTTATAAAATACCCCGACCCCCGCTGCTCATCCTACGAATACCGCTTATAATTTAATAATATATACCTTCGTGCACGTCCGTATATAAGGATTACGTGTGATTTTAATCCATTACACAAACCCTCCGTGCGAGTCGTTGATGCTGTGTAAACGGATTCAAAGTCCTCGTTTCGCGGCTAACTCCTCGTCCATTTGATAAAACTTGGCCGTTTCTAAATAGCGCTCCAGGAAATCACGTTCTATTTATACCTATACGAAATATCACTTGATTCAATTTATTAACATGTGCCCAATTTGATAAATATCAATCATTTTTTTATTTACTTATTTTTCATAATTACTTAGACACAGTAACGTTTCGACAAAAACTTAAACATAAATTAATATAACTATTCGTATAACATTAAGCCGACTTGCCAAAATCTAAATGGGAAAAACATTAATGCAACTTATTCATTACATTTTTATGGATTTTTTTTATCTAAATAGACTACGTTTTATTACATCACTTGCGTCATACTATCATATTAAAATCTGAAGTTGCACTTCATTCCATCATTATTGTATTATTATTGAAGTATTAATGTAAGTACATACTCGTTGTATGGTGGACAGGCAATTCTAGGATGTTATCTTATTATTTTAACACAAAAAATTCTAATATGAAAATCTCCAAATGTTATATGATCTGTCTTAATTACATGCTTACAAAAATTATTATCAATAATAATTGAATTGTTTCTTTTAACCGATTTACGTTGTGATTCATTAAAAACGTATTGTTTTAGACCTAAATTTAAAAAAATGTATTTTAATACATTTAGGGTTAAATGATATTGTATTTTTAATTAGTATTATTTGTACACAATTACCATTTAAAGTAATGCATATTATTTCATAACTATTAATATATAATATATTATATATATGTGTGTGTGTATAACATGTACCCTCTTCTGTGTGCAACTTTTTGTATGCACTATGTATAGAGTGAGGCAATATAATTACACGTTAAAAATATATTTAAATTCATGTAAATATTACTAAAGTGTTAAGTTTAAAAAATCAAATACATACATTTTTTGATCATTTAAAAAAAAATTTCATACGTAAATAACGGTACATGATTAGATCAGATTAGATAAATCCTCATTACAGTTTAAACACAATTAGCTTTCCTTTAAAAATATAAGACCCATAATTATAGTATTAAATATGACATCCTCACATTTTTACATATTATATTTAAAATATCTTACCGTTTTATAATTATTAGGCATCTTGTACTTCATTTAAATATTTTATTTTTTATCAAACTATCAAGCTTGTTAAAGATTATAAAATACAAAATAAATACAACTAAAAATAATAATACATGATAAAATATGTGAAAAAAACTTCACGTTAATAAAAAGATATAGAGGAATAACAATACATGTAATTAAAACAAAAGTCGTATGGTAACCATTACAAAACATCTAAAAACAGAATATAATTACGGTACAATTTTTATGTATAAACTGTACTAGTATAAAATAAACAGGCATGAAAATAGCCCCTTGAAATTATATTTACATATTTTACTTAAAATTGATAAATCAGTAACAATAATAATATGTATTTTATATAATTTAAAATTAAAAAATATTATTTAATATTAATTAAATATAAAACAACAGAAATTGCAGGGCCCGTTATAATAATCCTACGTGTAGTAAAAATGGACTGAGGAATAGATACTACACTGTAACTGTGTAACTCTTGAAATAAATGTGGGAAAATAAAGTATGTAATTCAGTTCTACTTATAACATAGTACATTTAAGAAAAAAATAAAATAATACTCAAGCACGTTATCGTTCTACTAAAGTATCAATCATGAGCTTCTTATGATGACAGGAGCATAATTTTGGAGTAAACGGGAGAGGCATATTAGTATATTCGTAAATCTAATTAATCTTAAAAATGTTTGCTCTAACTAAATTTAATTTCCGAATCAAATACGACATAACCGTATTCGAGGAGAGGACCTACTAAAATAACTTAAACATGCCTAATGCACAATGTAGTATATAATTATTATAACAGATTTATGTTTTGAATTCCTCGTCAATCTCATAACAAATGATTAAACTTTTAATGCTTTAAAAATAATGACTTGCCAATTCAATATGATTTATAGTATCAGGAGTATGCTTAAATTAAAACCAAGATTAGAGGTATTTATTGGTATCTGCTAAAATATACCTCTTAGATAATATAATAGTATACACTACAATATTATTAAATTAATCTAATCGTGACTAATGAGAAATGGCCAATGTTGCATCCTTTTTTCATTTATACACAATGAGAGTGTATAAGTCACATACCTCTAAAAATAAAAGTTTTCTATTTTGATTATTTTGGAATAAATATTATCAAAAATTAAATGAATTTTGTACTACACCTATAAATACAGTGTACTGTATATTACATATTTAAGTACCTTGGTATTATGTTTCCAGCTATAATATAATATAATGAAATAATCTTTTGCGACTAAATATTATTAAGTAAAGCTTATGATAAAGTTTACCTTATTTAATTCCATATATAACAGGTCAGACACAGATATTTATTTATTTATAATACAATTATTATAATATTATTTTATTTTATTTGTATCATTAATAAGCTTCAGCAAGAAGGTTAACTGTAGAATTTTTATTTTATTACGGTAAGGTACGGTAGATTTTTGAAACATGTGTTCTCGTATATGGGACATAACTTCGTCGTTAAGAACCCGGATGGTTGCCCATCCGAGAGAGCTAGTGACGACGAACAATGTTTGGCCATACACTATTAAGTGACTTCGATCAAACACTATGCCCCAATAATATTATATTATATATTGTTAAAATAACTTTGAACACGGGATAATAGCATTTTTTTTTTTTATCAATATGCAGGATATAATACGGCTTATAATGTTTAAATGAATGCAAATATATGTATTGTTTTCTTGTTCATAATTCGTAATAATACTACCTAATTAACTGTTAAATCATGTTGTTCATAAATTTTTTGTGGTTCTTTTATTTATGGAAATTAAATATTTTATTATTTATATTACTAGGTATAAACATTATCTATTACCAACATTATAGAACAAATAACACTAAATAAAATACTCAAAAAGAAATTAACGATCAAGGTCTTCTAGTTTCATACAAATCACTTCTAGTTCCAATTAGCCCTATTTAAAAATGCATTAACTAAATAAAAATAATTTTAATTTCAAGTTATCGAAGAAAAAGTGGATCATGTTAAATTGAACTAACAGTAGCTTAAATGAATATAATTTATTGACAGAGAAAATCGTATTAAAATAGTTGTGATAATTTTATTTTGGTAAAGTGTAATTTTTTTACTCACACCATAATAAAGTACATAGTTAAACATTTTAAATTATTATTAGTATGTAAACAGTTTGTGGGGTTTAA